AGCGTGATTTGAAGTCAACCAGTGAGTCGGCAGCCCGTCTTGGTACGACGTTCCAAAGTTTTGGTGCAGCGTGGGAAAAGGCCCGTTCACCACATGCTTTGTATGATGTTTGTGGAACGACCAGGAGCTTTTGGGCGGCAGAACGTTTCCCGATCAAAAAAACAGCATGAAGAGAAGGTAGTGAGGAAGGAAGATCACACAAAGGTTGCGTGCATGTTGTTGTAGGTATAGGACCCAAGTGTGCAGACTAATGAAGCAGGCAGACCAGAAAGGCTTCATGGAGAAACGAACTCAAACTGGGAACATTTACAAATAATCAAATGAGAACTGGTAAATAGAACAATAACTGGCTCACATCGAGCATGGCAACAGTAGGATCTAATAGACATTTAATAAATCACCCCCAAAAAGTCTTTGGATGTGAAAATGTGTTGCTATTCAAAGTCTGACCAGCTGATAAAACCACCATTCTCCCAGAATATCTAGGGTGAGTGTAAACACACACAGTTATTTGTATCCAGGAGAGGTGATGATGAGGATGCTGGTGATGAAAGAGGAGGAGGTATTTGATTTGCTGCAGCCTGCCTCTGTCCCAATTACTCACAGAATGGGCCAGAGCCAGGCAGCCTGATCCCAGAACACACACACACACACACACACACACACACACACACACACACACACACACACACACACACACACACACACACACTTTCTACTGTAAATAGACACACTCGCATATGTTCCTCTCCAAATAGGCGACTTTGGGAAGATGCATGAGCCTACAAACCAGAATGTGTGAGCACATCGGGTCACCGAATCATTCCTTTGACTTTATTCAGCTCATTATTACGACTTTATTTTTAATTCAGTTCCAATCCTCATTTTCTCCTTTCTAGAGCAGGCAGGTGTTGCATAAAATGTCTCCAGGGTGGATGATTAACTTAAATTACTTCATTTTACAATCTGCTCAAGTCTTCCATACAAAGGCAAACACATACACAATGCTGTTCTATATTTAAATTTGTCTATTTTAACACCTACGTTCACTTAAAACATAGCAATTGCTATGTTTTTCTCCATGCATGTGACAGAGCCTTGTAGCAAAAAATCAGAGCTCATGAGGTTCTGCTAACATGTATTTCCTGTACATCAGATGATTGCTACAGATTTATTACCTGTAATGTCTTGATTGTCTCTGTTTAATTGATGGTGTTCAGAACCACAACAGCCTAAACTCTAGAACAGGGCTCACCAACTCCGATCCTCAAGGGTTACCATCCAGCACATTTTGGCTGCTTCTTTGCTCCTACACACCTGATTGAAATAAATGAGTAATTAGCAGGCCGTGCAGTTAAAAGTGGTAAGGGGAGGATCAAATTACTCCATTCAGGTTTGGTAGAGCGGTAAACACAGAAAACCAGCAGGATGGCAGCCTTTGACGACCGGAGTTGGTGACACCTGCTCTAGAACATGTATGGACATAGTTCACTTTACAGTTTGTTTAATTTGTGTGAAAGCAATGATCTACACACACAAACCTGCACAGCTCTGAAACATTTCCGGCTCAAAAATGCTATTTATCATGGTTTCAATTAAGACTCAATGTGCCTGAAAACAGAACTAGCACAAAACTGTTGCTGTTCACACGTACAAGCACACGTCAGTGACAGGGTTTTCTGCAGCTAGGAGCAGGAAATAAGCTGGATAAAGCTGGCATGGAGCATTACTGCACACAACTAGCCAGGAAATCCAACTGATCTTGCAAAAACATACACAATCGCACCCAGACCTGTCAGTGTACACACACACACACACACACACACACACACACACACACACACACACACACACACACACACACACACACACACACACACACACACACACACACACACACACACACACACACACACACACACACACACACACAAGCCAAATGTTTGCTCTATAAGTTCAGGAGACCACATGTGTTTGAAAGGCACTCTGGGAGTTTTAACACACCACAGGTACACACACTGCAGTTTTATTCACTCCCTGTTTGTATGTGTGGGTGCATGTGCACGAGGCTGCATTCCTCAGTGTGTGTGTGTGTGTGTGTGTGTGTGTGTGTGTGTGTGTGTGTGTGTGTGTGTGTGTGTGTGTGTGTGTGTGTGTGCGAGAGTGTGAATAGGCATCTATTTATCCAGCGTCAACCAGACTGGAGTTTATCCAGACTCCCACATCACATGCATCGGGTTTCTCCCAGCGCCGCGCCGTATTACTGTGTGGATTTGTCAGTGCGGATCTGCACTTCATCTCACTGACTGACATCTCAGTTTGTGTGTGTGTGTGAAGGCCAGCTGTTGATGGATATCTGTCCATTTCCTTTAAGACATATACTATTTTGAATCAGACAAAAGTAAAAAAAAGTCCTGAAATGGAAGTAAACTCACTGTTCTGGCTGCCTTACACTGCTCCTTGTCAAAATAACATCCACTTTCTAAATGAAAATGAAGTGACAAAAAGTGTGAAGATATACCAACTGTGAGTTACCATGCATATATGCAGCAAACGTTATTTATAGTTTTAATAAAAATGTATAAAAACTTTGATTTCCAGTGAAATTATGTGGAACAAAGATGTTAAATTGCTGCAGGATTAAAGCATAAAAATGTCTGAATTTATAATCTCGCTGTTCCAAACACACGATGATTTTATTTTTTTACCAGCAGTACTGCATTCCACAGCCACACGTTTATAAATATGACAGTATCTGGGACGTAATTTTGGGGGGGGACGGGTGGGACATGTCCCCCCCACTTTTTCAAAAGGCAGTTTTGGTCCCCTGCACTTTTTTCCGTCCGAAAACAATGTTACGCTCCATTAAATGGATTTGGTTAAGCACTAGGACCGAAACGGAAACCGGTTTCCTATTAGACCCGCCCAAAAGCTAATCTATTGGCTCTGCTGATACTTGCTAACGTATTATTGGCTGTTGCTCCTGTCACTCAAGTTGTAAACAGTCAGAACGTGCTCACGTTGTTTTGCTAGTTTGGAGCCGCTAGGGAACACCGGTACTGAGTCACATCGTCAACTAGACGCTGTGTAATATCAGCTCAGCTCAGCTTCCATTACATAACATTTGAACAACTGTTCATTTGTGAGTCTTTGGTAGTTAGGCACAGTCAGGAGGCAGCATGTCAAGAAAATGAAAAGTGGATATAAGAGACTTCTTTCAAAGTCAAAACGTAAGTTGGAACATGTGACACCCCTGCATTAAGCTCAGACTCACCTCCTCCTTCACAAACTCAAAACTAACTTTTACAAACTCATCTCCTCCGCATAACTGACTCCTCAGACACAATTTATTCGTATTATTATAATTATTATTTTTTTATTATTACTATTATCATCATAATTATTATTACTAGTAGTAGTAGTAGTAGAAGTGTAACTTCAAAACTCTTATCATTTAACTTTATTGTAAACTTATCTATTGCAATGCATATTTTCACATTAAAAAGCTCTGAAAAATGAACAGTATCATCATCGTCAACAGATTTTTTTTAAGCTTAATGTCAAAGATGTACACTTTTCATTAGATTTATCTTATTTTTTCCATTTTTTTTGTGTGTGTTGAAATGCAACAACTGTTTAAACACTTTTAAGGGGAAAAACATATTTAATATGTTTTTATACACTCAAATGTTAGGGTGATGATCATGTGTAAAACATTAGTTCAGCATGTCCTCTAACACAGCAAATGAACAAACGGCCAGATCTCAGGAGGACCGTTTATGTATAAATAATTTTTATACTTTTGACTAGGCCTGGGAAAGTAACACATTTTGCTGGTCTGGACGATATTTTGTCCAACAAATTGTTGATGATAAACGATATTGTCAACATTATCTAGACCAAAATAACCACTAATATAATGTTAATATATCATAATAATGCAAGTACACCCTTTAAAATGCAACAAAGAAACCTTCATTTAACATTGAAATGCCCAGAACCAGAACTTCTAAATGAATAAAAATAACAAACAAAAATTAAATAAAAAAGGAATCTCACTCCCTGTTAGAAAATGTTGCACCAAAAACAATAAAAAAAAAGACCCAAAACAATAAATACAATGGCCTATCCATTTTCAACAGCCAAAACTGCACTTCAATAAGGATGGAAAAATTATTGAGATGGGCACGTGACGTGTCAAGGGGTCTTTACATAACACCCCCCACCCCAAATCCGCACAAGCCTGCTGTGTCCCCCCCACTTCTGAAATCAAAATTTCGTCCCTGGACAGTATCCTCTTTGAGATGGAAGAACATGCACCAACTCCTTAAAGCTTTATGTCAGCCTTCCACACAAGACATGACAGAGAGTAAAATGGGAGTCAGCAGCTTTTTTATTCTTACTCTGCAGCAGAAGCAGCAGAGGTATAAAATGTGGTCTGTGAGGGGAGTCATCACTGTGTAGCGCGCGTTCTGTTGAGACACACTCACGTATGACAATATCACCCTGAGATGAGAAGAGTGCAACGAGCTCAGAGAGGGGAGATGATGCATATTTACATAAAGGGAGTGTTGATCAGACAAGAGGAGCGTGTGTGTTTCTGTCAATGCACTGTGGCATATTTGTGCAGTTTGCATAATAAAATGTGTGGTTCATTTATTGATGCAGAGCTAAAGCATCAATTTAACTCGGCACAAACGCACCGACCGCAGTGTTTCTAGTCCAAAGCCCAGACACTGCAGGCAGGTTGTTTTACAGCCTGGTTTGCTGTCCCATGTGTTTAGCTTATTTTGGTATTTTCTTTTGATTTTCTTATTCTGTTCTAAGCAGAATAAGGAAAATTAGCAGGAAGAAGCTCAACCGCGTCTCTCAAATGAGAAGTGTTTACTTGCTGTGTGTGTGTGTGTGTGTGTGTGTGTCGAAATAGCAGGACTGAAATTAACGGCAGAATTTACTGAGCATTTATGTAGCGTGACTGACAGCGTGCGCGCGCAGGAGTGTGTGCGCGCGCTGAATAATTGGAACTTCAATGCCCACAATCCCCACAGACTCCTCGGTTTTCTCCGTCGCCTCCCCGCGCTCACACCCATTAAACAAACTGGACCGGCTTTCCGATTGGCCCGTGTGGCCAGTGACATCAGGACCCAACGTGGGGTTTTCTAAAGCCGAATGGTTGGAAGGCAGCAGCGTTCTATCCAATCAGTGCGCGCGGAGAGCCCTTGGCCAGCCGACAGCTTTTAAGGTGGAACCGGAGAGTTGTTGACACGTTTCTAAACGGGAACTTGAGACGTGTGTGGTAAAAGCGAGGTTTCCGTTTCCTTTAGGTCATGTTGGTAAAATGATAAAATACACGAGAAGGCCCGCAGTTAATGGGTTACAGGTGAGTTTGCTACAAGGAAAATATTCTCGTGTTTGGTGGTATTTATTGATGACAATATCCATGAACATAACTGCGTTAGTCATCTTTCATCTTTCTTGTTTTTGAAACCTTTCAGAAGTTCATTATTGACCTACATGTCACGTTGTGAAGACATTTATTTTATTTTATTTTATTAAGTCATGTTAATTGGAAGAGGCTCGTGAAGCCAAATAACCTGGATGAATGGGATTTAGGAATGTAATGGTTTTAGAGTTCCTGCTATTGTTATGTTTAGGCCAGCGTTCTCGTCTCGTTTGGTCACCACTTTAGTTGTAATTTTCTTAGAAAAATTGGAGCTAAAAAAATCAAACAAGTTTCTATGAAGTTATTCAAACTAGTTATGTGTGATCTAGTCTCTGTTATCTTTATATCTTATCTCTGTTCTACATGACTGTACAACGCCGGTTTAATTAACATTTTTAGTGTACAGCGCCTTGTTTGGTTGTAATGCCTTGTTGAAAGCGCTTTATAAATAAAATTGGAATTGGAATTGGAATAGTCTGATACCAATTTCCATCCCTGCACAGTACAGCCTCTCACCTTCCAATATTTGTCTTATACTATTAATAGAAAATAATTAAAATAAAAAAAGAATGAAAAGTTAGTAAAGCGGTTGTCTTGCATTTGTCTAAAAACCTTCACCAATAACATGTTTTGGACCCAAAGCAACTATTGAACTATTGGGAAATGTGGTCCGTCAGTCTCACCGAACGACCACACTTCCCAGGGTCCTCCATTCATTCCACACCTGTGTATTTAGCACGAGAACACCACTAGTGTGACAGATTCTTCGCTCAGTAATATTAGAGAAGGAGAAACAGCCGGCTGCTACCACTTCAAATTTAGGACAAACTAGAGTCCCAAAACGAAAAACACCATTTGAAGTCACAGACATCAAATGACGTTTGGACCTAGAAAGCGACGACTGGCACATTCTAGTTTCCTCTGGGAGCTTTGGGTTCTGTCAGAAGTGTCTCCAGGTAGATGCCTGAGGGGAGCAGAGAGTGTTCTGCTGGTTTGCTTGCAAAACCTAGCTTGTTTGCAGATGCGTCATATCAGCTTTAACGTACCACAAACCTAGAATGTGATTTTTCATTTTCAGATTTGCCAATATTTAGCAGATCACGCTGAAAACTGACAAATTCCAATTACCAGCCAACGATTAACCTGCTTTTCATACCACAATAGTAAAAAAGGTAGTAAAATCATCATGATGCTTTCAAATCTTCTTCATTACAGCATGTTGTCAGTGGCCATTTTTTCATAGTTCAGGAAATACTCCACAACAACTCTACAACTCTACCAGAGGTCTGGAAGCTTGAGGGTTCTGCGCGGTATCTTAGCTGTTCCTAGAACTGCACTTTTCTGGTGCATTATCCTGCTGGAAGTAGCTATCAGAAGATGGGTACACTGTGGTCACAAAGGGATGGGCATGGTCAGCAAGGCTCAACGTGATGTGCATTCAGAGATGCTCTTCTATACATTGATTGTAACGAGTGGTTATTTGAGTTACTGTTGTCTTTCTACCAACTCAAACCAGTCTGGCCATTCTCCTCTGACCTCTTAGCCTAGTGAACTAGACCAAATTCTTGCTTTGCAAAGAATGGTCTAGGCACGCTCCAATGACAAAATGAAATTCATTGTCGACTATCTCTATTGTCGATATTTGTCGACAACATCGACGGATCGTTGTTAACACTGTTACCTCGCAGCAAGAAGGTTGCAGGTTCGAAACCCGGCTGCGGCCTTTCTGAGTGGAGTTGCATGTTTTCCCCATGCATGTGTGTGTTTCCTCCGGTTTCCCCAACAAATTACAACATGCCCTATAGGTTAACAATTGTATGTCGCTTCTTTGGATAAAAGCATCTGCCAAATAAATAAACATAAACAAAAATTGCAGCGGATCATTTTGACCATGTCAACATGCCTAAGTGCACTGAGTTGCCACCATGTGATTGGCTGATTAGTAATTTGCACTAACAAGCAGTTGGACATGTGTACCCAATAAAGTGGCCAGTGGGTGTATCCTACATTTTTGACACAGTGCAAAAGGGACCACACTGATTACATTGTGTCTCTTCCTCTGTTAAACACCCCATCACTATTTCCTAATGCCAAAACAAATACCACATGGTCAAGCCCCTACCCCACCTGAAACACACGAAAATGGAAACTAGATGGAAATAAACTCCAGTTGTGATTATTGACTCACTTTTACATATTGAACTGATACAGCTGCTGATATTTTGTGCATCCCTAATTAAATCTGTTACCTTTTCTCCGTCAAACAATAAAATCACATCTAGTTTAATGACGGGGTTGTTGCTGTCGGGGTGTTTATGCTATCTGCTTGTTTGACTTGACAAGTCATTCTGCCTTAGATAGCTTTAGATGTTGCCCATTAAGGGAATATTTGAGGGTTTTTGTTAAATATAACCGTAAAATCAAGTCAGCTCAGCTCGGTCTATTTTTGCATGTTTGTTTGCTCGCCCATCTGTCTCTCTAAGACCCAGTGTGAGGAGTTGTGGGAATAATTACCTGCCTAATCCATTTTATACAATTAGATAATACTGATTAGTACATGGGCTACAAGGGGAATGGCGGTGGTGTTTGCGGAGCGTCACTGAACCACTGCTCGTCTGAGAGATTTAGCATAAAGGCTGAGAAACGATGAGGAATGATGAAGAAATCAGGGCTGTCAGAAAGGGACAATCTTCATTATCAAAAAAAAAAAATTCCACACTATGTTTATTTTGGCCGTCTGCCAAGTGGTGTGTAACGTTTCTTTTGAGCAATCACAGTTTCCTCACAGCAGGAAGTCTCTGGGTTTGAAAGCCGGCCAGCTTGTGCCTTTCTTTGTGAACTTCAGTGTTCTGACTCTTTTCAGCGTCTAACCTCGAGCCCTGCAGGAACCTAAAAAAGATAATTGTTTAGGGTGTGAATAATTTGGATGGATGGATGTTTACACATGGAAATTGTGGAGAGAAGGTGGTGCTGTCATTGCATAATGTTTGAGCTGTTGCTGCCTTCTCATACCACACATTATTGCTGACGAGAGCTCGTGTGAGCGCTCAGTAGGATGTTTCCCTTTCTTTTGTGCTGAACCATGTCTGTATTTTTCAAAGCGGCCTTCCCTGAAACACAGTGTAGTCTTTTTGTAAAATAAAATTTCCACCCTCCGTGGCCACAAATGGTAACGCTTCAATTATTTTTATTATTCTTTAAGAAGGCGATGTGCTTAGTTCCATAAAAAGAAAAAGAAATGGATCAGAGTCAGGAAGAGCCTTTTGGGTTCTGCATCATGACGGAGTTCCACATTTGCTGTCTTTAGTGATCTGACATTAATTAAAAATTCAACAGTAGTGATCAACTTAGCACCAATGATTTTTACACGTTTGTTCAGCTGAAAGGAAAGCATGACCAAATATAGTCTTTTATTTGGGTCTAAATTCATCACATTTCTTATTGACCCAGAATGTAAAAAATACATTCAGAAAATATGTAAGAGTTGTAATTTGTCTGTATTTGATTACAGCACCTTCTAGAGTCCTAGAGCCCCCCAAGGAGCTTTACAACACAATCATTCACACATTCACACCCTGGTGGTGATGAGCTACATTTGGGGCAGCAGTAGCTCAGGTGGTAGAGCGGGTTGCCTCATGATCGGAGGGTCATGGGTTCGATTCCAGCTCCCGCCAGGGGTATCCCGCTGTTGTGTCCTTGGGCAAGACACTTCACCCAACTTGCCTGTGTTAGTGGTGGTCAGAGGGGCCGACGGCGCCAAATGGCAGCCTCGCCTCTGTCAGACCTCCCCAGGGCGGCTGTGGCTACAAGTAGCTTACCATCACTAGCAGTGTGTGAATGTGAGAGTGTGTGAAAGCGTCTTTGGGTGTCTTGAAAAGCGCTATATAAGTTCAATGCATTATTATTTTTATTATTATTATTATTATTATTACATTAGCCACATTTACATGCGCCAAGTTTCAGGGTTTCAGGCTCATGTTTTATTACTGAGCTCTGTTGTGGCGTATTATTAATAAAATGTGACAATCAGCTGAAACTGGTGAGAAAATTAGGGTCTAACTAAATAACAGGAGATGTTCTCAAAGTCTGGAAGCCTGTGTTCATCATGTTTTAATAAACGAACCGCATCTCAGCTCATCTGCGTTAACATGCTTTTACATAGATTGTTGACCAGGATATTAAACTGAGGATGTTTTATACTCATCAGCCTCCTTAAATCCAAACCAGGTCGGATAAACCGATGTTACTCTGTCTTTTTACGAGCACATCTCCATCCTCCTGCTGCAGAAACAGCTGCTGCGTTCACAGAAACAGGGATCCGAGCTGCAACCCCCGAAATGAATCTGCGTGTTTCTAGTACAGACTTGAACACGTTTGTCGAATGATTTTCGCAATAATCAGATTTTTATTTTACTTCCACAAAATGTAAGTTCTGGATTAGATAATACTGAAACGAGGACAGCTTCCCATCAAATTTAAAAGCCGATGCTTGTTAATTAGGCCGTCATTTACTTAAATCAGGTAGTCCGACAGCGGGAAAGCTCGCTGGCTGTTGCGCACATGCGCAGTGGGTATTAGCTTACTCCAACAATCCGAATGGCTATGTACATGCACGTCAATCGGAATGATGATCGGACACAACCACCTCTCTCAATTGGATCAAAATGCCATCCCGATCGGGCCGAGTCGGATCAAATATTCCGATTGACATGTTTACGTGCAGAATTTTTTATCTGATTGGGCGTTCAATCCGATTAATTGTGCACATGTAAATGTGGCTACTGTAGCCCCAGCTGTCCTGGGGCGAGCACAGGCGCCACCGGTCCCTCAGAACACCACCAGCAGGCAAGGTGGGTTAAGTGTCTTGCCCAAGGACACAACAGCAGGGACAGACTGAGCGGGGTTCAACCTGTAACCTTCAGATTAAGGGGCGGACATTTATACCCTTTGCCACCGTTGCCCCGTGTGTATTGGTTGATGTTTCTTGACTAGAAATCTTGCATCATTGGAAAGCTTGATTAGTCAACCCTGCTACTTGGATCATGCATCCAAGGAAGGAGCGACTCAGCTAAATGTGTTGAAAGACTTTAGAAGAGTTCAGATATGAAGTTCATGATGCCTGTTTTTTCTAAGCTTATATTACGCAGTTCCTTCTATTCGGCAGTGATTGTTTTAAAAGGAAGGTGAATTATTCGTTATTTGTCTCGATGGTTTTGGCTTCTCACTTGAAGCCTTCTTCGTGAGATGTCTTCTGCAAGGATGCTGATGTGGGTTATATCTAGAGTTCCCGCTGCGTGTCATGTGGGAGGGGTAAGCGAATCTGTCATGTGCTCGGCGTTGCCTTGATGAGTGCGTCCCAAGTCTTGGAGAGTTTATAAGCCCCCTCATCTCTGTTGATGGTTGTTGGTTCTTGTTCACTGATTTTAATGGCTTCTCCTATCCATCTTTTGTATCTGTCATTCTCTTCTTATGAGGATGTCTTCCCAGTCCATTTAGTGGTTGTTTTGCTTGCAATTATGTGTCATGTTAGATTTTTGCATCTCCTTTTTTTGCAGTGTGGTTTTTGTGTCTGATCATCTTAGCCTTTGTTTCTTTTTCGCATTCTGTATGATGTTTGTTTCTTCTTGTACCGAGGGAGCTTCCAGTTTCTCCGATGTAGCATTTATTGCATGTGTGGCACGGTATGTTATAGATTACATTGCAATTGGGTTGATTTTTTTTTCTTTTGGATGCACTAAGTGTTTTAATTTCTTGTATGGTTGACAGATCCGCTCACCCCTCCCACAAGACGCGCACCGGGAATTGTGGATATAAGCCACGTCAGCATCCATGCAGACAACAACTCACGAAGGAGGCTTGAAGTGAGAAGCTGAAACTGTCAAGACAGGTAAAGAATAATCCGCTTTCTTACCAAACAAGCATGGCTAAATAGAAGTCCTCTGATTTCTATGTTGAAGCAGAGAAACAGCTGGGTAGCAGCCCTCAGGTAAGGGGTAGGGCTGGGCGATATGGCAAAAATAGAATATCACGATTTTTCCAATATTTTATCACGATTTCGATTTTATCATGATTTTTTATCCATGAATAGCATAACTTCAATTGCGTATTAAAGAAGAGAAACATTGAATAAATAAACTTTTATTCATATTAGGGATAATCAGCACAGTGCTAACACACTTATATTTTAAACTCACACCAGAGATGATAAAAGCCCTGAGAGAAACAATTACAAAAATCAGTTTTTCTCGTTTTTCAAGTAACTTAACATAAATTAAAATCGTAAACATATTTCAAGTGCAAACATGTCAATTGCAAACGTATTGTGCAAACATTAACTTGTTCAAAATACTATGTAGCTCCCAGTTGCTCATGTAGTGGATAGTTAAGCTCAAATACGGCTCTGACGTGCGGCTGGACCAGAGATCGCTTGTGGTAGCAAATAACTGCGCATTCTGAATATTTTCTGCAACGCTCACTTTGCATTCAGCGTACATGCGTGGAATGGCTGTGTTCAAAAAATACTTGCGGCTGGAAAACTCGTAGCGCGGATCCAATGTTTTTATCATGTTCTTAAATCCCAGTCCTTCTACTGTTCGCACGGGACACAAATCTTTAACCAAGTGGTACGTCACTGCATCTGTCACGCTGTTCCATTGTCTGCTGTCTCTGTCGTAGGGAGTGAGTTTTGTGAGGGTTTATGTTAGCGTTTGCTGCCTGGAAGAAGCACTAGCCGCTGCAGCCGCAGGCTTTTTAGCTTTAGCTGCCAGCTGGCTCTCATTGTATTGTTTGGGATGCCTTCTTTTCAAGTGATTAAACAAGTTTGTGGTGTTGCCATCACTTGCCTTGACGCTCTCCTTGCAAATGATGTTTCGCTGCTCTTTGTCATCTGGTGAAAAACCAAACCAGTTCCATATAATGGACCCTAATGTTCCTCTTCGGAACGAAAACCTAGCTGTCGCTCTCAGCCGCGGCCGAAGCCATGTTTGTTCACACACAGGTGAAGGTGAAAACAAGCGGGGCACTAATATATTACTATGACTCACTCTGATTGGTTAATGGTCAAACAAAGGCGTGTCATTCGCCTGAGGTAAGTTCCTTTTTCATTCAGAGGCAGAATTTCAACAACAGAGCTGTGAATCGTGATAAAAAGGTCCCTCAAAAATGACAGACCGTCAGATGTGTAGATCGTAAAACGGTCTAAAATTGTCATATCGCCCAGCCCTAGTAAGGGGGTTGTCTACCCCTGAGCGAGAGAGACCTTCAACAACTTCTAGTTGTAGTGGGATGTCACAAACGTAACTCGATTGGTGACCATCTTGAATAGGGCGAGTGTAGCTGTTGTGGCTGCAAATGTACCTGCTTGCTTCTTGAGGTCCCTGGTTGTGTTGATGAACTTCGAAAAATGAGAATCTGGTGCAAAAGTCCATTTATATCAGTCATTTATCTTAGACAAAGAGACCATTTAAAGGCTCAGGAACCCCTTTTATTTTAATTAGCTGATTAGAGTGTGACACTTTGAGCTTATTGGACTTTTTCACAGTTATCTAATTGTCTGAGATTTTGAATGTGGGGTTTTCATCAGCTGTAAGCCATAATCATCACAATTAGAACAAATAAAGCCTTGAAATGTCTGGCTTTGCATGAAATGAGTCTATAGGATATATTATTTTCACCTTTTGAGTTGAACTACTGATATAAATTACTTTCATCTATCTATCCATCCATTATCATTCATTTATTCGGGGTCGGGTCGCGGGGGCAGCAACCTAAGCAGAGAAGCCCAGACTTCCCTCTCCAGCCAGCTCCTCGTGGAGAATCTCACGGTGTTCCCTGGCCAGCCGAGAAACTTAGTCCCTCCAGCGTGTCCCGGATCTACCCATTTCTCAGGCCGCTTGTATCCACAATCTCATTATTTCAGTCACTACCACAAAGCTTGTGACCATAGGTGAGGGTAAGAACATAGACTGACCGGTAAATCGAGAGCTTGGTTTCAGCTCTCTTCACTACGACAGACCGGTATAACGCCCTCATCACTACAGACGCAGCACCAGTCCGCCTGTCCATCTCCCGATTCATCTCACTCGTGAACAAGACCCCGAGATATTTAAACTCCTCCACTTGGGGCAGGACCTCATTCCTGACCCGGAGAAGGCATTCTACCCTTTTCCGACTCAAGACCGTGGTCTCAGATTTAGAAGAGCTGGTTCTCATCCCAGCTGCTTCACACTCTGCTGCGAACCGCTCCAGAGAAAGCTGGAGATCGGGCTCTGATGAAGCCAACATCATCTGCAAAAATAGAGACCTGGGGTCTCATTTATCAAACATTGAGTAGAATCCTTACTAAAACCGTACTTAAGCTCAGAAAAAAATAAAAAGTACTTTGTGATCTATCAAACATGGAGTACGCACAGCTGCACGCAATCTCCACTTTATAAATCAGAAACTATCTAGAAAGGTTCTCAGCTGCTTTTTAGTCACATCCCACCCTCACCACGCCCACTTACTGCCATAAATGGTCAATGCAAAGTGCCTTGTGGACCTCATACATATACATAAGCCCGCTGTTGCAGCGCTCCGCCAATGACGATGGCGACCGTAGATCAAGGCAGATCAAGGAAGTGCAATTTCACAGAAGCAGAAATTGAGGTACCTGTGGGTGAGGTGGATAAATGAAAGGAAGTGCTTTTGCAAAACAAATAAAAGAAAATCCACGGAGTGGCACAGCGTTGCTGAAGCAGTCAATGCTGAGTTCTTCAGAGAGATCTGTGGCGGATATAAAAAAAAAAGATCCAATCTGGATTTGATCCCCAGACTCCCGGGTGAAAGTCACCCGCGCTAACCAGTCAGCCAAATGGAGATCTCCCTTGTCCAAGTAGCCAGGGCGCATGATCAATTGGGTCACGGTGACAGGACACACACACTGTCACAGACGCATGACATTCTGTCTCAATCTGTCCCCCTGCTGATATTCAGCATTCCGTATTCTGCGCTTCAGGCTGTGTGTGTGTGCGTGTGTGCGTGTGGGGGGTCTTGTTCTGTGTGAAAATGAAGCGGTACAAGTGATAATGCTGCAGGATTTCATAATTTTATCCTTCTCAGCAGCAGTACTGCAGGGGCTCTCCATGTCCAAAATGTGTGTAAGCCAGGTCCTTAGTCAACTTAAAGTTGCGCACATTTTTCCGCTAAGTTTTCCTTCATAAATCCTAAAGTTTGCGTGGAAAGTTGCTTACGCAGTTTTCCGACCCCGTTTTGTGCGTAAGCAAGCTTGATAAATTAGGCCCCTGTTCTTTAGGCCGCCAAGACGGAAGATAACTAATCCGGTTTTCTAAAAATGTAACATAAATTGTCAAGAAACATTGTTACAGCAAAGAAAACAGCCAGATGCAATTTTTCTTATTTTCTGTATCTTATAAAGAAACACAATAATATAAATAACAAGACGCAATTGACAGATTTTTGTACCTCTTTGTACTTTTGAATATGTTGCTTAGTAAATGTTGAAATCCCAACAAGAAGGAAGCATCAGTTTTAACTAACTTCTAAATATTCTCAAAGAAAGAATTTTCTGTGGGAAAAAAATAAAACTAATTTCTAAAATTGGAAGATGAGTCTATAATTCTATTAATTTGCATAAATATTACTCAAGACTTTAACTTCAGGTAACATAGACACTGCTATTCTTAAATCATCAAATCAACATAAAAAATATTTTTTAAGTGTTACCTAATAAGTTTTTTTTTCTTTCCTGTAATTAGTATCTCAAAACACCCTGAATACCCTGAAATACACGTTTTGCATAAACCCAACTCGGTAAACCTTTAGGCTGACTTGACAAGACAAATTGATATAGGAAAGGATCTGTGTTGTTTGGGATAACAGGATTTCTGTATGTGTCCTTAATTGAGGCTTTGGAGCTGCCCCCTGTCTAACCCTCTAGTTATCAAAAGCAGTTTCTGTCTTACTGGAAATCCTCAGTGGATGCCAGGACCGACTGTCCGAGTCTGCAGTGCTGGATTAATGGCTGTTTGATCAAGTTCAAAAGCAGAGCTGCCCTGGATAAACTGATTATACGCAGCACCAAAAGAAGTCTGGGCCGGGCCGGTGTTCTCTACTTGGAAAGTCTTTAAATATCAGGTCTTAATAGGTTCACGTCCATTCTGGGTACTCCTGTAAATAACACTTGCATCAGATCCAGCGCTTAAAAGTAGGTAGGCAGACGTTTTTATCCTGCTGTAGTGGAGATATTTCTGGAGTGTTACAACGCTTCTCCCAGAGATACTCCAATTACCGATTCTGATTACCTACCTGGTGGTGAACCAACATTCATTCAGTTGGTATTTTCCACTGCAGTGTAAACAGATAAAGTTACAATTCCATCTTGTTTGAGTTTGCATCTGTCTTAAACTACAGCCTGATTAAAAACACCGCTTGCCCCAAAAGCCAGATATTTGCTATAGTTCGCAGTTCATTTGTCAGTCCCATGGAAATGAGATAGAATTCTAGATGTGTTCACAAATGGACAAACGAGGTCAGAATCAGCGTTGCTTAAGCTTGTCTGAAGTGTGGAGCTCTAAGAGGAGCTAAAGGGTCGGTTTTGGTTTTGTTCCCATCTGTTTTCATTCATCTTGAGTTAATTTAGGAAGAATTGGGAGAAGCACATGAGCTCAAACATGATGCATTTCTTCTTGCACGAGATGTTTCGTTAACCCTTTTTGACGATGGTTTGAGAAACCATGTCACTATCAGTCATCAGCGTAACCCAAATGTGTTTAAACTGGGATTTTTTTGCAATTAGACATCATTGGATTACCACCCTGTCATCTCAGATGCATGCTAATGCAAAGTGTGAGCTGACTAATAAACTTATCACTCTGTGACTGTTTTATGTGTGCATGCATTATGTGTTTTCTTTTGAACGTGTCCACGTATCTGTCACAAATTCTCACATGGGTGTCTTTGCATCTCGTTTCTTATCAGTTTTTGTGCAGTCTTTGTGCGTGACTGATTGCTTTCTGTGTCTGACCACAATTGAAAATGAATCCATCTCTTGCATCCCTCTCTCTCCCTCAGTGTGTGTGTGTGTGTGTGTGTGTGTGTGTGTGTGAGACCAGTCGCTTCCATCTACTCAGTTCCACCTTAAGAGGAGCTTTAGCAGCCTGTCCTGTTTGTGTTGAAGCCAACAGGCACAATATATTACAGTCTAGGGCTTGCTGCTGAAAAGCCCGCTGGATCCTCCACTGACCTGCTGTTCTTTCCTGCTTTCCTCTTGCGTTTTTTTCCACATTTAGATTAAAAACAAAGCTCTCACTCTCTCCTTCCCACTCCCTCCCTCCCTACCGCTTGCCTCCTCCTCCTTCTTCCTCTCCTTTTTTCTGCTGCAGCAGTCAAGGCTTCAGTGTGTCAGAGAGAGAGGGGGAGAGAGAGAGAGAGAGAAGAGGAAGAAAAAGCAGAGAAGAGGACTATTTGGTTGAGCTGAGTGTTTATGTTTGTGTGTTTCGCCATTGGACTGCTGGGTGACGGGGTGCAAGGAGAAGACAAGAAAAGAGTAAGAAGAGGAGGAGGAGGAAGAGAAGTAGAAGTAGAAGAGGGGCGCCTGTCTGGACTAAATTCAGTGTCATGTCAGTGTGTGTAGACCTCGACTGATCAGAGGAAAGACATTGTAAGGAAGAGCAGGAGGTGGAAAGAAAGGGGAGGAGAAAGTGACTTGGATTTCACTGGAAGAGGAGGAAGAGGAGGTGGCAAAGTCGGGAGCTCCGTTTTATCATGACATTGTTGGATAAACGAGTCGACAGAGTGACTGATCTGCAGTTGTGTGTCAACAGGAATTTGCGTTGAAAGATAAAAGAAGAAAGAAGAGACGAATGACAAGACTGCTGTCCTCA